AGGTGGCGGCTAGCTTGACCGGGGTTTTTCAAAATCTGGAAAGCCAGGATGAGGTCACCCGATAGAGGGCGATATCTTCCACTGCACCTTCCCAGGGCTTTTAGTCGCCTATGTTAGTGTAGGTGGGACAACCCCTTCACATTTTTGGTTGCCGGGCGCTGTACGATCTCCAGTGCAAGCAGATCGCGCTTTAATCGGGGTTCTCAAGCCTGGACCACCTACTCTACATGGGGCCTCACGTACGCATTGAGCATTTGGGGAAAGATGGATGGATCAAACATCCCGAACGCCCTCGGTAACAGACCAACATGTTAGTTTGCAGTTTTGGACGCACTTAAAAATCGCGCCGAACTGCCGAGGTCGTCTTGGATCACCACACCAAGTTCTCTCTCTTGTGAGGCTGCTTGCAGAAAGTCCTTTCCAAGCTCATATGCGTACATGGGCTTGTGGCGGACATGCACGGTCATGCACTTGTCCGTGTTAATGAAAAGTAGCTTTGCATTTGACCATTCATAGACACGGTCTAAGTCGCGGTGCAGCACTTCTTGATCTTACTGACAGCCGATTGCCATCCATATCTTGATGTCATCGTCAAAAAGCAGGAAATTTCACTTGATGAAACTCACAAGTTTGTTAATGAAGGACGAAAATAGCCGCGGCCCCAAACCCGACCCCTGTGGAACACCGCAGTTCACACAGAGCAAACTCTACTTGCTGCTTCCAACCAGTAATCAGTAATCAAATCTGAAGGCGCACCTGAAAAAGGAAGTTTCCCATCCATCCAAGGACAGGATTTCCAACTCCTTATGCTTGCAGCTTTTCGAGAAGGATGCGGTTATCGATGCGGTCGAATGCATTGGAAAGTCTAGGTAGATGATATCAATACCTGTCCCACCCTCGTCTGTCTCGGTCCAACTGCCATCGGCAAGCATTAGGTTGGTAGTTCATGACCGATGCTGACGGAATCCGTGTTACTCCGGTGCTATGAAGTTAGACGTTTCGAAGTAGTCCATTACAGCCTCAACTATGATCGGTTCCTTCATCTTTGAGAGCACGGGGAGGAGAATCACTGGGCAATATTTGGCTGCAACAGCATTTGAAAATCGGGGTACTGGTGCCTTGCTTCCACATACTATGGACCTGCTGTTCGTCCAGGCATCTTTGGAACAATGTCATTAGTGATTCAGCTATCTTCGTAGCTGCCACCTGCAGCGCTTGCGAGGGAACGGTCTAAACCCTGGAGGAAACATGGGTGCGCAGCGACAGCTGCTTCCTCAAAATGGTCGTTGAATTCAACGTGACTTGTGTACATACTGGAATCTGGGAGCATGGGACAGGTATATTACAGCTGCTGCTAGCACGTCAGGAAATGGAGGCATCATGTAGCCGTAGAACGTTGGCTGCATCCTCGACGGTTTGAGCACATCCATCCGCTGATATTAGTAGAGGAACACCACGTTTCACATTCCGGAGGCTGCTCACATATTTGTACAGAGGCTTGTTGTTAGCACAAAACTTTTCCGCGACAGTCTACTGGTGTACTAATTTGTTTCCATGCACTAGTGTGGTACAGTAATTAGGATGCATAGCATAGCTATTCCAGTTGTCAGGGCTAGGGTTTGCTCTATACACATGACACGCGGAGTCTCTTACTGTCATGTGTTTCCTGGTTCTACTCCGAATGAACGAGTTAGCCGTTGCAGAACGAAGGGAGTTGTTGACCGATGCCTATTTAATCAGCTCACTGAATTTGCCAGTGAAATCCAAAAAAAGCACTGTCAATGGAACAGTCGTCTGGAAACTCCCAGCGGGCCTGTCCCACAAGTACTGCCAGTATGTCGTAGTGGGTGATTGTTGAGAATAAGTTAGTGTGTTCTTGTGGACACGCTGTATAACACAAGAACTCGTAAATTATGGTTACATGGTCGCTCCGCCCCAGAGGGCTCTCCAGTCTTGGTTTCTCAACCATGAGCCCTTCGTTCGTGAGCACTAAATCAAACACATATGGCTTATGTCCGGCTCTGAATCGGGTGGGTGAACTGGCTTGGCGGAAGAGCGTAATGCTTGCAATATGCTCTTGCAGATCGACCTTAAACTGCTCCTTGGGGGATGCCGAATCTTCCAACTCAAGAATATTGCAGTCGCCTGAAATGAGATCATGACTATATCGTCCTCGTAGGAACCTTCCCAAGGAGAATGCCTGGCGGGAGTCCATCTCTAGGGTGGACACTGGGGACGATAAAGAACGGCCAAAAGTCACGTGGCGTTGCGTTTTAGTCGCATACTGCACCAGAGTGAGTCTATGACCAGCGTTTTCGGATCGGCTACCGGTTTGCACTGCAAGTCGTTGCGGTAGTAGAATCTTCCCCCCCCCCCCACCACTGTTGCTAGATCGATCGTTTCGGAGAAGCAACCTACCATTTCTCACGATTTGAATATCTGGAAGTTCTGAATGCAACCCGGTTTCCGTAACGAATCTGAGATCCAAGCCATGTGACGTTTGACGTAGCCGCAGTTCGGCAACCTTGTTCATTGATGTACATGCAGGAAGGTTTTACTGTTTTAGCAATGATTATTGGGGTGGGTGTTTTGGATCAAATGTTGTGCCGACCGGTGAAAGGTCGGCAACCAATGGTTTTTCGAGTAAGGGATGACGGACTAATTTGTGTTCGATTCATGGATCCTACCATTAGCTCTTTACATCTCACTTTATACGTAATGTATGGGGTGTGTTTGTCAGTTTCCTTGGCTAGTTGCTTGAAGTTATCCGAACTCTTGTCCTTAAGTGGTCTGACTAAGTGCTTGCTGTCGTGTGTTTGCCTAGCAAATGCTGCTTTTATTCGCAGCTCGGAAGGAAGGCCGCTGTTGCCCGCATACCACCCTTCTACTACCATTGCTGACACTTGTCTAGTTTGAAGAACAACTTTCAAAAGCCTCGGGACACCTCCCTTGTAGTCTGGCGCTCTGCCCAGCCTCAAGACTGATCGCGCTAGGATGTTTTCCAGGGAGAGTGTCTCGCGAATGGACCGCCATTGTTTCTGGTCTTGAGTGGTCACTTTGTGCTCATCATTACTTCCAGCCTCGGAAACCTCTTGTAGAAGGATGGCCCTGGTTACGGTTTCCTTCCGGTTTTCGTCCAAGTAGAGCCTGGCCTGTCTGCGTCTCCTTTAAGGAATATCCGGGAAGAGTCGCATGCAACATGACCCATTCCGGAGGCGAACTGTCGATAACAGGACAGTTTCTGCTTCATTGGCAGAAGGCAACTCAACTCGGAGAAGTCTTGATTCACCATAGTACAGTGAATTTGGGCGATGCGTAACGTCTGCCCAATTTACGGGCTTAGTTACAACACCTATAGTGTCACATATGGAGTTCCACTGGTTCAGCTCATCGAGCTGTTTCCTTCTAAGGAAGGTTGACATCGGTTCTGGAAAGCGTATGCAGATTACCGCTGAAATAGTACGTGCATTTCTGGTTCCGGTCAAACGACCAGCCGTCTGTATGCAGTTGGTGGATGCTGTTAGGGTACGGCTTCGTCGTGTCCATTTACCATGGATGCAGTGGGAGTGACCGAAAATCTAGGACTTCGGTCACCTTTGGCAGAAACCAAGTTCCAACCACCACTGTTGTTGAAGCCCTATTGCATTTTCGGGACTGTTTGGTGGGTGGACGAACCCCGCGACCGTGCTCATTGCAATCGGAGTGCTGGTGGCTGTGTTAAGTATATTTGAGCAACTGGTGGTATTGGCGTTTAATGCCACGGATGAGGAATTTTTAGCGTGTCGTCTAGCCCTGTTCCTCAGTTTTAATCTTGGACCTGATAGGAATGACTGGGATTTACTGTCTATCACGCTTTCCACAAATGAATCGCTTTTGGTGGTCCTCATTTGTTCAAACGTTGCCACTAGTCTATCATACTTCGGAGATAGTTCCTGTACCATCTTTACCAGTGGGATGACTATACATATTAAAAAGAACCACAGTGAATCTGGTTTACTGTTGGGTAGATGCAATTGTTTCACTGTGAGCTGGGAACATTTGTGATGAAACTTGCCTTGGAAACCGCTGCACTGGATTCCAATCCGTGCATTTTATTGCATGAAGGAAGGCCATAAACTACTGACGATCTAGATGCGGTAACAAGGGCTTTGCATGGTCCACAATCCCTGGCGTCGGTCGATGGTATTCCCGTAGATGCCCGAGCGCTTATGGTTTCCCGCCGGTCGCGTGTGCGCTGAGATGTCTGCATGCTCAAGATCATCACATTCTGTGCGTCTGGCACAGGTAAGGCAGTTTTAAGCGGTTAGATCGTTCAAGCGGCAAACCGAGCGACTAAGCGGTACTGACACTAAGTGTACGGTTGATACTTTGATGCGCGGTCTACAGCTGTGGTCGCTGATTCGTCGGGTAAAACATGTAGTTGACCTTTGTTTGAGACCACAAATAAATATGTGTGCTTCCTGATTCCGAAAATTCTTCGATTGTGTTTTGGCAGGAATGGCGCAATAACCGCAGTGTGGAGAGAAAAGGCGATCCACACAAGCTAGATCCGAAAGACGGCGTGCACTAGATGGCGCAGATGAATATGGGTCGAATGAGTGTAAACACATGTTTGTGTGACAAATTGCAACTGCGAACGGCGGCAACATAACGCATTCACTGATGCGCGATTAGAACGCGGGCTGGTTCAAGGTAGTTTAAGGTCATTATATATATATATATATATATATATATATATATATATATATATATATATATATATATATATATATGTTCGTGGTACATCATCGTATGATTTTGCTTACTACCATCGCACTTTGTGCTTTTGTTTCTCTTTGGAATGCAAACAGTAAGGGTCATTGAGGTCAGCTCACTGGAAAACTGCGTCCCGCTTTACATCATCAAATAAATATCGATCGATTTTATCTAGTTCCAGCGGCATTTAACGAAATGTGTGCAGCCACGTCACAGTAGCTATTTTTTTCTTTCCATGACCGCAGGCTGGTGCGAAGCTCAATGCTCAAAATCAAATCGGATTGACCCCGATGATGGAAGCGGTGTCATATAACCAGCGGGAAGCAGTCGGTCTCCTGGTAAAGCAGCGCGATTTGGATCTGTACAAGAGGGATTTCTGCACCGGTGACACCGCACTGCATATTGCAGTGAAGAAAAATTATATCCACATGGTGGAGATATTGCTTCAGGCTGGTATGTCGACCGTATGACAATAATCTCTTGCAACATGATGTCATATGTGGAATACTTTTCAAAGTTACCTGCCGCAAAGTGTTTTTTACCCCATGTGAGTCGTATGTAACTGGGATCGAAAGTGGCCCAAATTGCAGACTGTGACAAATGGCACAAACTCGACGGAAACGCAATCGAATGCGAGACGTGCTTAGGCCACAGTGCGAAACTTCTCTCGTGTGTGTACCCGCGGAGTGTATCAACCGGTACCAGTTTGGTACTGGTGGACTGTCAGTCGTTGCGTTCGGTGTGTTTTCGGGTACTCACGGGAAACGACGGTAGCTAATATAACGTATCTTTAACTCCACCAACCTAACTCCATAAGCCTATTTTAATGACATAGTGCATCTATTCTGCGGGAGTAAGTGATAGATGAGCAATGATTGACCGACTCATGTGAACCTGGTCGTATCGGGGGGAAACATTTCCATCACCCACTGGTCACCAAACAAAAGTAGTGTTTAGCCACAAGTGTTCCGTACCGCATTTTCACGCCTAAGGGATCGATTTTCACCCGAGCGCGGATAGCTAGCCGAACGACGTTTACGTGGTGCCAGTTGGGTAATCCGGTTCCAGCGAATGGTTCGGTGGCAGTATTCCAGAACGTGTTGGATTTTCGCCTGGCAAGCATTCTCCCTAAAAAGGCCACAGATGTCTACTTAACCACACTGTGACGTGACAAATATGACTCGCCACTAAATAAAGTCACTGTTTTTTGCCTTTTCGAAGGATCTTACCCCACTCACGGACGTAAGCAAGTTCGAAGAGATTATTTAATCCCTTCTTATGTTGGCGAATTTACCAAACACAACAACAACAACTTCAGCACAACAGTAACAAATTCACTTACAATGATTACTCACCCAGACACTTATATATATATCTATACAAAATAACTCCAGTATGTACTGGTTATATTGTAACACTCGTGTTCAATCACTGATCATACGTGTCTGAATTACTCTGATCACACCTTTTTCGGCGTGCCCCGCACTGTCGGGAATAAAACATGCATTTATTTATTTATGCATGACATATGTTAGGGATACGCTGGAAAATTTCTGATTGACGGTTGTGACCTAAATACATGTGGAGCAAACCATCAAGTCACAGAGTGCTACAAAGGTCACATCACCTTACACCAATCAATCAGTTGTGCTGAGCGAGTAGCTTCTCCACGTGCCTAAAAGGCGGGGTGAGTGCATGGTATGTCACCGTAAGATGCATGTATGTATACTGAAAAATGCGCTACAGACAATTCGAACTCTTAATAAGCACACGACTAGAAGGGCCAAGTACTTAGGGGATTAACGTACACTCAAAAATGGTGACGTGTGTTTTGATCTGGCCTACACCCAGAAGGTGGACAGAAGACCGCCACGTGGAGGTGATCGGTACTAATTTACATATTCACTGCACAGGCAGACAATAATGGAAGTTACCTTGTTACTAGATGTGCGGATCACTGTTGATACGTTTGCGCTGGCCATAGTCTGCTTAAGCATTAACATATGATGATATTAGATGTCTGCCTTAAGATATGAGCTTGTCATCTGCACACGAGGTTACCTTAAGTTTGTCTCTTACTACCGTTGCGTGTTGCCGACTCAGTGTTATGAACAATGAACAATGAACAATGATATATCACGGGATAAAAGCAAGTGCTTGACACGTCCCGTAGGATGGTAGCGGTGAATATGATGCAATTAAATTATGTCTGGGTCATCTATCGAACGTCTGCCGAGATGAATACTTTGATAATTAACATCAGTGTAAAATGAAAAAGAAATATCGCGAGTAAACATTCAGAAAGACACTGGGGCGCAGTGATAGTTGAGGTAAGGAGTGAGAAAATAAAATATGGTCGCTCACTTAGGTCCATTTGATACATTAGTCCTGTTGAAAACATGCTTGGCGTAATCCACAACAGAGGAGCTTAGGTAACAAAATGTTGGGAGCTGAGAGCAACATCTAAGCGTTTTTTGAAAACATCCAGGGTAGGAGAGGATGCTACTGAGTCTGGGAGTGCGTTCCATGGTTTGCAAACCCGAAGGGAAAAGTAATTCCGTCGACACTCTAGACGGCTATATTGTTCCTTCAACTTTAAGCAGTTACCCCTGAGCTGCGTGTTGTCGCTAAGTTTCAGCAAATGGCGGCATACGTGGTTGGGGTCACTCAATATCTGATACGCTAATAGGAGATCGCCGCGCAGCCTTCGATAACGGCCGCTGAAAATTCCCAGCAACTTCAGCCTTCGGTGGTAAGAGTGATAGCGCAGGCCCTTCACATTCTTTGTTGCTATTCGTTGTGGTGCCTCTGTCGTTGCTAGGTCGCGCTTCAATCAAGGTTGCCAAGCTTGGATTGCGTACTCAACATGCGGGCGCACGTAGGAATTGACGGGATAAAAGCAAGTGCTTGACACGTCCCGTAGGATGGTAGCGGTGAATATGATGCAATTAAAATATGTCTGGGTCATCTATCGAACGTCTGCCGAGAAGCAATACTTTGATAATTAACATCAGTGTAAAATGAAAAAGAAATATCGCGCGTAAACATTCAGAAAGACACTGGGGCGCAGTGATAGTTGAGGTAAGGAGTGAGAAAATAAAATATGGTCGCTCACTTAGGTCCATTTGATACATTAGTCCTGTTGAAAACATGCTTGGCGTAATCCACAACAGAGGAGCTTAGGTAACAAAATGTTGGGAGCTGAGAGCAACATCTAATCGTTTTTTGAAAACATCCAGGGTAGGAGAGGATACTACTGAGTCTGGGAGTGCGTTCCATGGTTTGCAAACCCGAAGGGAAAAGTAATTCCGTCGACACTCTAGACGGCTATATTGTTCCTTCAACTTTAAGCAGTTACCCCTGAGCTGCGTGTTGTGGCTAAGTTTCAGCAAATGGCGGCATACGTGGTTGGGGTCACTCAATATCTGATACGCTAATATGAGATCGCCGCGCAGCCTTCGATAACGTCCGCTGAAAATTCCCAGCAACTTCAGCCTTCGGTGGTAAGAGTGATAGCGCAGGCCCTTCACATTCTTTGTTGCTCTCCGTTGTGGTGCCTCTATCGCTTCTAGGTCGCGTTTCAACCAAGGTTGCCAAGCTTGGATTGCGTACTCAACATGCGGGCGCACGTAGGAATTGAGCATCATTGGGAAGATTGATGGGTCCGGGT